GGTGAATCCTCTCACATCCCAACCGCCCCCCCCCCGCCCCACAACTCTGGCCTGCACCCCAGTTCTTAATAAACAAGCAAACAAAAAAAAAATAAAGCTACAAACCAGTGGAACAGAATACAGAACTGAGAATGTCAGTTAACTTAAAACATATGAGACAAAAATATAAATCTCTTCAAAAAAGGATATCAGAAAAACTGGACAGCAAAAAAATTTCATTGCACCACTATGTCATCTCATTCACAAAAATTAACTAAAAATGAATTAAAGACCTAACTGTATGAGGAATATAAAAATTAAAAAAAAAAAAAGACAAATGCTTTAGCTAACAATTCAAAAAAATAGACCTAACTGTAAGACCTGAAACCATAAAACTCTTAGGAGGAAAGACACTGTGCACAAATGGCATATCATTATGTTGTTTACCTGATGAATATAAGTTAGTTGTACTTCAACAAAAATTTAAAAACTAAAAACTTTTGCTCTGTATAGGGTATAATAAGAAAGCCCTCAGAACAAGAGAAAATATTTGTAACTCATATATTTCACGAGGCTACTATTTGGAACTACCTTTGTAACTCAATAAGAAGATATGCAATTGAGTTGAAGAATTAACATGATTTGAATAGACATTTCCCCCCAAAAAATATATATATGGTCAATACACATATGAAAACATACTTGATAACAAGTATTTGCAAAGAGGTAGAGAAATGGGGCATTCATATATTGATGCTGGAAACGCAAACTGGTAATGTTATTTTAATTTTTTAAAGATTTATTTATGTACACAAGAACTGGGGTGTAGGCCAGAGGTGTGGAGGGTGAGAGAATTCACCAGAGTGGGGAGCAGAACAGGCAGATTGACAGAAATACACTGCTGAGGAAACAGTTGGTGAGTCAGAAGTGGTCTGCTGCAGCATGTGGGTAGCTCCCTGGGTGGGGATTGAACTAGGCAGTCTGTTTCTCCAGTTTGTCTGTTGACACTATATGCTGTGCATGAACTGGCAGAGACCTAGAATTGGTCCTTCCTCCTAAAGCTGTTGAATAAGACATTCTCTCCTTTAGAAATGTGGGAGTCCTTAACCTCCTCCTTGACCTTCCAAGGACTCATCTATGCTTATTACACAAGGTAATCCTTAAACTTTTCCTATCATTGATTGAATTTCATTCATAAAGTCTCTTTTTAATCTGGTACATTTACTCATCGACAGAAATTATGGGAAAAACATGAATTTTCTTTTTCTTTCCCTATTCCATCCCATCCTTTTTTTTTTTTTTTTTTTTTGTCACCTATCAGACTTAATAGAAAAACAAAGTGTGAAATATTCCAGACTGGAATTTTACTTGTCCATAAAAAAACCAATGAAGCACCAATACATGCAATAACAAGTGAGCCTTGAAAACATTATGCTAAGTGAAAAAATCCAGCATGATTCTAATCATATGAAATATCCAGAATAGGCAAAATCATAGGAAGAGTGAAGATAAATGATTGCTTAGGGCTGGGGAGGGGGAAATGAGAGCCTCTGCTAATGGGTACATTAGTAGAGGCTAGTTTGAAGTAATGAAAATATTCCACTGAACTGCATACTTTGAAATTTTTTTTGGCATGTGAATTTTATGGCATTTGAATTCTATCTTAATACAACTGGTATTAGAAAATAAAACTCCTCCTTTTCACAAATCTGTTTGGCAGAAGGGTTGGGTTTGTTACTATTTCCTCACCACAGAGAAAAAAAAATCCAACTACTTCACAAGAGAAATCACATGAAATACAGTTATACATGCCAGAATATTTTTGTGTGATTATTTGCAATATGATCATGGTGATGAGTCCTCTTGTATAACTCAGCTATTGTGGCTTTATGTATATCCCTTCCTGTTTATAGATAGACTTTCAACTAGTATTTCTAGAATGCCACAGGAACAGCTGTTATTAGAATGACTTTTCTCTGTCACTATGTCAGGAGAATTATGCTCTTGAGGTTTAACATACGTGTATCAAAGATTCACACTGGTCAGGATGCTGACAATGGGGACATGACTTCTAAACAAATGCTAAGACTTCTTGCCAGACACCTGAGATTATCTATCGGTGAGCACACATGATTTCCCATAGCTCAGGGTATGCCGTATCTTTCTCTCATTGTTTTGAAGCTGCTAACAAATTTCTTCCACCAACATACCTACTTTTCTGTTGTTTCAATACACAGCTTCTTTAAAGCCTCAGGCACAGCACTTTCAAACGTCAGCTACGATTAGCTCTGCACATTCATCTTTGTTTCCTTAGTTCTCCTGAATCATCTATATCTCTCAGAGGTGAGTTCAGGTGGCTTAACGTTACATAGTGTGTGTGGGGTGGAGGCAGGGGGTGGTAATATGTAGTTTCTGAAAATAACTCTTTATAGCTATCTTATTTCTCCTATTTGCTGGCAAATTTTACTTCATCCCCCCAAGTAGCTAAGCTATAGCCTATACCTTGTTTATGATCAGCAGAGGGTAAATTGCATTAAAAATTTTATCCATCCATTCATCCATGCTAGTTTTCTGGGACCTCGACTTTCATTTACAGAAATGAACGAGGTGTATTTTAAAATGCAATGCAAATATCATCATGCTTTTTTATCAGCAAACATTTTCACCTTTCCCTAGTTTGCATTCCCATTACTTTACACATAACTGTGTGTATCTATATTGAGATCTCTATTTATATCTGTATGTGTATATATGTGTCTGTTTAAATTGCATTTTTGCCATTAGCTACATGAGGACATTTCCTCAATGAGTCCAAACTTCCTGTTTCCCGACTTTGTGGCCTAACTCCAAATGAAAAAGTTTCATCAGTGATCTCCATAAACAACTCGAATGCATACCAAGCAAAGACACCACATAATCAGGCACAATGTCTCTCAGATGCCTGCAAATAAGTTCACATGACAGAGTACAGCAGATCTTCCAATAACATCATGTCAAATAACATTGATGTTGATGAGGAAAAAACAATCCCATCTGCCACATAGCTTAGTTTCAAGTTGGGTTTCCAAGAACCTATTGAGAAATTACTTTACAAACTGGTCAAATTAGCATTTACTGATACCAGCAGGTAAGAGAACCAGAAATCTACTTACATGATGCAAAAACATTTGCTGAAATTAATAAAAATAATTTCCAGCGTTTCAGAATCATACAAAAAACTTGCAATATAATGAAAGGTCCTCCAGAGTTATGCAACACTAGATGATAAGGCATGAAGCTGATTATACCCCAACTCCTCAGCTATCAATACTTGAAGCACATCCTGTCTGTAATAACCTCTTATATTTTTTCCCCTTGATCTAACATATTATACTGAATGTTTGGACTGTATGACAGATTAGTCCTTATAACAAAGAAAGTGGGGAGAAGGTGGGTTCAATCAGGAAAAAGGGGACACTGGTATGGTGAAGGATAGATTTGGACTTAGAGGTCAACCTAATATAATATACACACGTTAATTGCCAAAGATGACCATCTGAAACATTATGGAATGCAATTCTACAGAAAAAAAAAATATGCCTGGGGGAATGCTTTAGGATTTGTAAAATAGTCTGCAAGTATAAAGTAATGTTATTATTAGTTTTTTTTTCTGGGGGGAAAGCTGCTGAAAAAGAAACATACCACTATTTTGTTTGGGATTTGCCTTGTCATTGTTCAATAATTACCATTGCAGGTAGGATTTCCTAGGAAAATTATATTACTTTTATTCTGATGTATCCTTTCCACCCAATGCTCTGTAAAAACAGATCATGTTTTTAGAATTGACTAAATAATTCTATATATCATATGGGATGTGAAAGAAAGTTATTATAGGAATGATTTGTGATGCATGCTTTCTTTTCTTTGTTACATAATTTCACACTGCAATCTTATTTATCTGTGTCGGAAGCCATGTTCTCTCATTTTAATTACTCAGGGTACAAAGAATATTAAGAAATTATATTGACTATACATTTATAAATAGGAATAAATGCAATCTAACTATCTTTAGTGATTTGTAAGTAATACTTCAGAGGAATGCAAGAACCTGAAGACATAGGTTGAATATTAAAAAGGTATGAACACTTACATATAATCTAAGCGGTGATATGGAGAATATTGTTTTGTAAAAAGGTTGTATCGGCTCATGAGAACTTGTGGAAGAACATCAGATTTTTTTTCTGCATTTCATTTTACGTTCATATTATTCTGGCATGCATTCTTGTTATTCCGAGAATAATATATGTGTGTGTGTGTGTGTGTGTGTATGTGTGTGTGTGTGTATAAATTATTTATTTTTTTTTAAAGATTTTTATTTACTCTTACAAGAACTGGGGTGTAGGCTAGGGGGATATGGAGGGGTGAGAGGATTCACCGGAGATAGAGTGGGTTGCAGAACAAGTGGTTCTACTGAAAGACACTGCTAAGGGGAGCAGCGGGCGAGACAGAAGAGATCTGCTGCACCATGTGGGTGAGGTCCCTGGCCAGGGATGGAACTCATACTGCAGTGGCTGCTGATAAGTTTGAGAGCACTGACTTTAACCCCTGTGTCACCAGGGAGGCCCTACATACACACATTTTTTTAAGAGAATTCTTTCATATAAAACTTGATCCCAATTTTAAGTCTGAGTCTGCATTCTTTATTTCATATATAAATATATATACACGTGTGTGTGTGTCTGTGTATGATCATGTACATACTGAATTTTGTGTTTAGCCATTTTTCCATTTTTGATACAAACATCAACTAGCATGGGCCACTCGGTCACCTACTGTCTCCAGGGCGAATATATATCTATATAAAATCTTTCCTACTATTGCTAATACAGGCCTCAATTGACCAAAAAAGGCACCTGTATATTTATAAAGGCATTTACTAGTCCAAGCAATTGGGGAAAAAAACAGCCAATCAAGAACTACTCAGCTCCTTTCCAGCAAACCTTCTGTTTGATAGAAAAACAAATGCTCACAGCAGTTCTTACCTGCAGTGTACAACCATCGGGCCTGCATCAGGAGGGTTACAGGTTTTGACTCTTCGTAAGAAAGCTAGAAAAGGTGTAGGGTGCTCTGGAACACCATGATCAGGCCATGCGGTAAATTGGAATTGTCTCACTTCTCTCTTCTCGCTCGAACCATTCTGTGAAGTAGGAACACTGGCTGAAATTCTGCTGTCCAACCTCAGACAGGATGAGCAGTGATATGGAAGGGGTAACAGGGCACACTCTTAATTCCTCCCCTCCCCCCGTATCTTTTGGGAGGACACACTCTTCGAGATCTAAACTGCAAGCTATTTGTCAATGACAGCCATTTGCTCAGGAAGACAAAACTCTTAGGTAAAAAGCATTACATTTCTCAAGTTTAGCTATGAGGAGAGCTTCAGCTATATTTTCCAGGAGGAACTAGTTCTTCTTCATCTATCCTTCATTTGCTGAGACTTAGTCCAGAGCAGCAGTTCCATATTTACTGATAAATTGCCAGACAAGGAGAAAAATTGCTTAGTGATAATGGGAGAATTATTTCATTCTTCACTGTTGCCAGTAGAATCAAGATTTAAGCAAAACCTGAAGGTATCTGATTTCTCAAAAGCACCTTTCTTTCAATAATGAGAAAAGGGAGGGGAAAAATAAAAAGCAAACCTTGTAAAGTGCAAATGTTCGAACACAGTATGTGGCCAGCTCCACGGTGTCCAGCAGTGTCACTTGGACCAGCCCATGGGTTTCTGTGCCTCTGCTGGGCCAATACTGGTCACATTTCACCTAGAAGAAACAAGTGACATATTCAGGGCAGACGTTCATCAATTTCTCTATTAGCTTTACTTTGAGTTGCTATTGGAGGAAAACAGCTTTTTTCTGCATTTCATTTCATGTTGATCTTTCTCTGGCATGCATTCTTATTATCCCAATGTATGTAAATGACTGCTCTGATGCCAATATAAACCACATTTTTCAAACTGGTAGGAATATGAAGCAGTAACAGATTCAATTTTCCTGGAGAAAAATAAATTGCAGATTGTTGCTGAGTAAAATAAGGAGAGAGGTATTTGAAACTTTAGAGAACTTGAAAAGAAAACACAAATTTATTCTGGGATACATGTTATGAATCGCATCGGGGAGATTACACTCAGGCATTTAAACTACATGGTGACATAGTTAGTGTTCATCCATCAAAGTTTAAAAGGCACAAGCTACTTCATCTTGAGCTATCACAATTTTCAAATATGCTTGTTTAAAGAAAACGAGAAATAATTTGCAAATCTATCAAAGCATAATAAACAACATAGCATATTTAAAATACAAGATAAATGGTATTTGTATCCAAACAAATTAAATCCATAATATCAAGGGGAAAAGAGCTGTTTAAATTTTTTTCCTTTATGAATAGTCTCAGGGGATCATACACTACCAATGCAAAGTTTAAATAATATCTACAACTTCTATGTGGAGTTGAGTAAAAGCACGTAAAAACTATTCAACCCAATTACTTTAACATGCAACAAAGAATAATTCCAAGAGTGCAGTAAGCCTTAAGTTTACTGAATGGGTCCTTTGGGTATTAAAAAAGCATTAAAAAGTGAAAAAGGACAAACATAGTGCTGCATTTTCTAGTAAGGCCATAAATAGATCAGAATACATTTACCCTTATATTTCCGTTTTTTTTTTAATGGGAGCACTTATTAAATAAGACAAATTATATGCATTTCTCCAGGTAAAGAAATCTAGTATAATTCGATATTTAGAAGCAAGCCTTCTACTCACAAAAGAAAGATTCAAAATGTTACAATCTCTGCATTTAGACAAAAGCAATGAGGCATCATTATCGTAGACAACTAGGTGCTTTTTTTGTCCAATGGAATCACTACACAATTATTTACTTTTATGTTGAATAGAAGGATCAGTAGCACTCTGAAAAATATTGCAATCTTATGTTTCACAGCTATAGCATCTGCTTGTCAAAGGACTCAGCCTCATTCTGTCTAGATATGTACCTTCTAAAAAGGCAGAGGGAGAGGTTTATCCTCTACACAATTTCCTACACACTAAAAAGGAGAGTAACATTTTAACATACAGTATATGATAAAGCAGAGATGGAATTCACAAAATTGACTCCTGTGGTTTTATTTCAACTATGAGACCAAATAAACATTAGCTATTTCATGAAAAATAAACAAAAGTGGCCCGCAGCGAAATAGCAAATTTACACTTACTAAGATATTTTAAATATACTTGCAGCTTTCCTAGATGCATAAAATATTCTTTACTGCTTATTTCTGTAACAGGTTCTAACTCAAAGACAGACAACACAAGGGACAGACCATTTCTTAAGAACAGTGATGTAGCCTAAATAGGGTTGTGTGCTTCTATGTGTTCTCTGTCCATCTATTAAACCTCAAGTCATGGGCCTCCGTGGTGGCCTAGGGATTAAATGCTATCACCACAAAGGCCTAGAGTTTGATCCCTGATCAAGGAGCTAACCCCCATGGTGCAGCAGACCTCTCCTATTTCGCCTGTTGCTCCCCTTAGCAGTGTACTTCAGTCAATCTGCCTGCTCTGTTCCCCACTCTGTCTCTGGAGAATCCTCTCATCTTCACCCCCCAAACCTCTAGCCTATACCCCAGTTCTTCTAAGCAAGAATAAAATCCTTTAAAAACTTAAATAAATTAAACAAGTCATCCCTGAATTCACCACAGCAGCTCCACCTAAATAGAGCAAATCACAAAAGCCAAAGGCTCTGATTCAAACCATGAAATAGATGCCAAATTAATGTCCTCTTAATACAAAAGTAACTTTGGAGGCCTCATACTGCAACATTTGACAGAATGCCAGCAATATGCTACATTAAAAAATTGAGAAACTCAAATATTATTTAACCGTTTCAGCTGGTGATGGTAACTCTTTCAAATAAAAACCAAGGGAAAAAAATAAATCACTAGGATGGACACAAAAACAGCAAATCAATTCCTCGAAATTGTAAGGTGAGTGTAATTGTACTTCAAAGTCTGGAAGTGGTTATTCTCAGATTTTTAGAGAGGTAAGATGAAGGAAAGGACTATAGCTCATCCTTCATGTGACCGTTGGAAAAATAAATCACTATTATTTGATCTTCCATCTACAAATCTTCTGCAACCCCAAAATGGAAGAAAAAGTAAATTTATACTAATTATTCTCATACTGGTTGTAACAAGTTTGAAATTGCAACTATTATTGCTCAGCTAGACTCTGATCTCTTTAGAGAAAAACATCACAAAACATTACTAGAAATAGTAAAGGTCATGAAAGCTTTCATTGAAATTTTTAGTCAATTTAAATAAAGCACTTTAATCTTACTCTTATGAAAAAAAATGTTTAAAAATGTTTTGAACTCACCTACAAAAATTGGAAGTATTTTTTAAAGCACATATATTTCAACATATCTGTTTTCTCTAAGGAAATATTTCACGATGACAGTTTATGAAAAAAAAAAATGTTACGAAGGTGCACATACACTCACGGGCTCAGCAGGGGGATGAGAAGCGATCCCTGGCTTATCTGAACAGCTACAGCAATTCATTCTTCCCTCAGCACCTTCTCCCCCACCTTACTCTTTGACTAGCCTTCACTGGTTCCATCTGATTTCTGATGACTTAATCTCAGGGATTAGATTTACTTATTAATATTAAGACCTTCATTTTGAGTGATACACTTAACAAATTTCAATGTTGGAGAGCAAGTAAGAAGTGTAGTGAGAAAAGAACACAGGAGAAATGATTCTGCTCATCCTCTCCCCCACCTCACTAGTTCATGCAAGTGAACAGCTCTATTTTCCTCCATTGAAGTGTTTTTTGACGACAGTCCTGTCCCCAACTTTTTTTTCTTTTCCTGGAAGTAAATCTCAGAAGGTATTTCTAGACAGGATAACTACTTGTTAGAATTCATGCATAAAGCAGAGTGTTAGTGTTGAGAAGTGCAAGAGGCTGCAGTTTGAAAAAAAATACACACACACACACACACACATATACACATAGACTAGAAGGCAGGAGATACTGGATTTGAGTTCTGTTTTTTTTTTTTTGCCTTTCCGATTTGAATCTTGTTGTGGAAGATGGGCAAGTCTTGCTCGTCGACCAGTAACCTACTTTTCTATTTCTAGGATCAAAACCTGAAAGCCCTCATCTTTAAAATGGGAATGAAGGCCTCCCTGGTGGCACCCTATCAGATGGTCTCAGCACTATGAAGCTATCACCAGCCACTTTGTCATGAGTTCCATACCCAGCCAGCGAACTACCCACATATGGCACAGCAGACCTCTCCTGACTCGCCCGGTACTCCCCTCAACAGTGTATTTCAGTAGATCCGCTTGTTCTGCTCCCCACTGTGTTGCTGGTGATTCCTCTCACCCCACGCACCTCTGGCTTACACCCCAGTTCTTGTATGCATAAATAAAAATAAATCTTAAAAAAAGGGAATGATACCGCCTGTATGACAAGGTTACTATTGTAAGGCTCAAAAATGAAACTAAAACCAATGACTGGCATAAAGAGGCATTTAAGAGGTAATAGCTATTATTAATTACTAGTCAGATTATATGCTCAATTTGGGTGGTTGTTACAAACTAAGTCATTTCAAGTGTGAAAAAAGGAGCATGTCATTATTCCCAGGAGATAGTTACTTAGGACATTCTAGGTGCTACACAAATTATTACTAATGACATAGTTTGAACTTCTGGCAGAATGTGGGGGAGCTATTTCTACCATCAAAAAGTAAATACCCTTCTGTGGTAAGTTTCATTTTTCCATAATTATGGGAAGAACACACTGACCATTGCTAAATGTATGCTATGGAATTTATTTTACTTTCTTACACAGAAAACTATCAAAAGTTGATTGATGGAAGGATAAAACATATTTAAATATATTTGAAAGAAAATTTGTTACTAGAAATAATGTCGCAGGAGTTGATCCAACAGTTCTGCTGATTGTACATCAGGGAAATGCTGTCCTTCTAGTTCCATTTTACTCCACAGGGCTTACCTTGCATGTGCCTGGCAAAAAGTAGGTACTTATCAAATAGAAGCCAACTTTATAATCAACTACACCATGGTCTAGGTTGGCTTACTTTAAAATTATCTCAGACTTACCAGAAACAAGACCTCCTCAAATTATCGAAGACCTAGTGAGCGTGGCAGCATGGCAAAGCACCAGAACTTTCAATGTAACAAACCAGTACTTCCAAAGTATCACAGTTTCACTAAATACAAAGGCATCTGCCACATAATACTTTGAAAAGCCAGCCTAGGGCCAGGATATTTAGCCACAGAAGGATTTTGAATGGACAATAAATGATCTGGGAAACCTATAACTGTTACTGAAACTGGTATAGTTTGGGCAGAGGATTCTCCTATAAGGAATGAATAGCAAATATGCTAACCTTATAGTACAAATCAAAGTTGTTACTGGGAATATGACAATATTAAAGCTCACTTACCAAAACCCATTCAATAAGGGGGAATGTAATAAAAGGTTTTACTTAAATACGAGGATATATTTTACTGGGCAGAAAAACTATGTGCAGATCAGTTTATTTCTCCAGGTTGTACTATCTCTCTTGGCAGTTTTTAAAATCAGATTTAATACTTGATTTCCACAATAAGGACCAAGATCATCTTAATAATTCCATTGTCTTTTAGCGACAGTGTTCTTATCTGCACTCAATAATTGCTACATCTGTTTTCTTTACCGAGAACCACTTTTTAGTAAAGAATCAGAAGCATAGGAATACCC